GTTATCCGAAACTGGACAAGCAATAGCTTAGAGGTTTTAAACACCGTACCAAAAGAGTCTCTCGGTACAGCGGCCGTAAGGTTTAAAATCGGTCAGCACGAAGAGGGTGAGAGGACACTTGGATTGTTTTGGTATCCAGATAATGACACGTTAGGGTTTGATGTCTCGTTCAAGCGCATTCCGGAGAACATTAGCAGTGGTAAAACGCGGCCTACTAAGCGGGAGATGCTCAGAATAATTATGTCAATATTTGATGTATATGGAATTTTATCTCAAATCACTATAAAAGGAAAAATAATGTTACAGGAAACTTGGAAGGCTAACATTGGATGGGACGAAATAGTTTCAGACGCTATATACAAAAAATGGTGTGAATGGATGAAACAATTAAAATGGATAAATAATTTGCGCTTACCGAGATACTACCAAGCAGCCGCGAGTGGAAGCGAAACGGCAATAGGATCGATGGCGGATACATGCGAGTCGCGGGCGCAACGGGCTGCCATCGGTTATAGCAACCTACAGTTACATATATTTTGCGATGCATCTACGCAAGCTATGTGCGCGGTAGCGTACTGGCGTTGGGTTCATAATAAGAAAATATATGTATCGTTTATAGCTAGCCGCTGTCGTGTAGCGCCGGTGAAGTTCGTTACGATTCCGCGCCTGGAACTTCAAGCCGCAGTACTTGCTGCTCGTTTATCGCGTACAATAATTACCGAACATAGAATCAAGCCTCAGAGGAAAATATTCTGGAGCGATTCTAGTACTGTCTTACATTGGATAAGGAACAATAATAAAAACTATAAGACATTCGTAGCTAACCGTTTAGGAGAAATTGACGAACTTACGAAAACAAATGAATGGAGATACATTCCTACGAAGTTAAATATAGCCGATGTTGCCACCCGGGAAGCAGTTAATTGCAATTCAATTACTACAGAGTGGCTCAATGGCCCAAAGTTTCTGCAAAGTTCTGAAAATTCGTGGCCTGTAGGATCTTTTATGCCCGAAGTATGCAGTTCGCAGTTGGAGTATGTGAGTACAATACAGGAACATTCTGTAGTAGACTTACCCGTGCCAGATCCAACTAGGTTCTCTTCTTGGCTTCGCCTGCTGAGGACTACCGCTTTAGTATTAATATTTATAAAAAGATGCAGAAAATTTACAAGTAACTGTCAGATCAATTGTACCGATATGGTGGAAGCTGAACGACTTCTGCTCAGATACGCTCAGCTGCAGTCTTTTCCGGAGGAGATAGCTGCAATTAAGAACAGAAAACCGTTAGAACGAGTCAGTAGGCTACACATCTTAGCTCCGTATCTTGACGATTATGGAATTTTGCGCGTTAGTGGCCGTATCGATGCTGCTGCTGATTTATCTCTGGAGATCAAGAGACCTATCATATTAGACGGACGGCATTCCATATCGCGACTAATCGTTAAGCATTACCACAAGAAGGCAGCGCACGGATTAAATGAGATGGTGGTAAACGAGCTAAAACAAAAATATTGGATCTTGAAGCTACGACCCACTGTACGTACCGTCGCATCCAGCTGCATGTTCTGTCGCATGCAAAGGGCTAAGCCAGAACCACCACGAATGGGGGACTTACCTCAGCCCAGATTGGACCACCATCAACGACCATTTACAAATTGTGGCGTTGATCTGTTTGGCCCACTCGATGTGACTATCGGACGAAGAAGAGAAAAGAGGTACGGAGTACTTTTCACTTGCCTCACCGTGCGTGCTGTTCACATAGAGGTGGTCAATTCTTTGACTACGGATTCTCTTATAATGGCATTAAGAAGAATGTCAGCACGTAGAGGTTGGCCCAAACATATCTTCTCTGACAATGGTACTAACCTCAGAGGTGCAAACATGGAGCTCTTAAAATCCATTAAGGAACTGGATAAGGTTGCATTGAAGGATCAAGCACTAAACTTCAGCACAGAATGGACATTTATTCCACCTTCCAGTCCACACTGGGGTGGGGCTTGGGAGCGCCTTATACGGACTGTAAAAAATGCTCTAAAGGTCGTACTCAAGGAACGTGCACCTCGAGAAGAGGTCCTTATAACCTTGTTAGCTGAAGTCGAAAACTTAGTAAACAGTCGACCGCTCACTCATGTCTCCGTAGAGCCAGGAAGTAATGAGAGCTTAACTCCCAACCATTTCCTGCTGGGAACGTCCTCCAATTTGCCTACAATTGGGGTTTATGACGATTCAGACATCTACCTCAGGAAACAGTGGCGTATCGCACAACGCCTGGCGGACAAGTTTTGGGAGCGATGGGTTAAGGAGTTTCTGCCCGAGCTGTTACCAAGACGTAAATGGAATCGCGAACAAAGGTCTTTACAAATTGGGGATCTAGTCCTAGTCGTTAGTCCAAGTGAGCAGCGTGGCATATGGCAGCGCGGAGTGGTCGAAAGGGTTTTTCCTGGCAAAGACGGCAGGACTAGGGTGGTTCAAATAAAGACTCCATCCGGGACACTTGTACGTCCAGCAACACGCGTCGCCAGAATACCCATGGAAGATGAGTGTCGCTGAGGCGACACTGGGGTGGGGCGTGTTGGCGACGCATTGTTTTGTATGTAATATTTATTACAAATTTTATAAAATATGTGTAGGTAAGCTTGTATGTATTTGTAATATTATCCCTAAGGTAGATAAGAGTGAGCGATTCCCGCTAGCATTGTTGGCGGTCAGTCGTCGCCGCAGTCTCCGCTGGTGTGCACATACATACGTTTAAGTCGTCCCGCGCTTTGAAGAATCTAACGGTCAATTTGTATTTTCACCGTGTGGCGCAATAAACATTTTATGTAACCAGCACGAGTTCTTGATTTGCTATCGATCCACTTCAGCCGGCTTCACTCGTTCACTGTGACGTAGGCGCGGGACTCGAAGCTTGTTGTCATGCAAAATTTGCTTGACATGGTGGAGCTCGGCAGCCAGGTGTTTACTGTCACAGGTCCCTCGTGCTCTCTGAAACAAAGATTTACCTACGGTAGCTAACTGTGAAGGATGGTGGTGAGAATTACCGTTTAAATATCTATCTGTATGGGTTTTTTTTTCTATACACAGTATGGCTCAAGGTGTTATCAGCATTCCGAATTACTAACACATCTAGAAAAGCTAAGGAATTGTTTGCCTCTAACTCCATTGCGAAATGACTTTTAGAATTTATAGAGTTAAGATGGTCTAAAAATGCAGTTACTTTATCTAAAGGTAGAATTGTGAAAGTGTCGTCTACGTACCGCTTGTAGAATCTTGGATTTATGGGAGAACTAAGCAGGGCTTTCTCCTCAAAGTCTTCCATGAATATGTCGGCGACAATGGGAGATACAGGTGAGCCCATCGCCACACCATCTACTTGCTTGTAGAACTCCTCCTTCCACAATAGGTAGCCAGATGTAAGGCAGTGTCTGAGTAATACTGCATATTCTACGGGCATGTTGTTTTCTTCCAGCCTTCTAGTTACAATTGAGATGCAGTCTTCAACAGGTAAGCATGTAAACAATGACTGCACATCAAAACTGACCATAGTTTCATTGTCTGCCAGATGTAGGTCTTTAATCTCGCTGACAAAATGGTAGGAATCCTTTATGTGTGCTCTTGTATGTCCCCTGAGCGGTGAGAGTATTTTCGCTAAGTGTTGAGCCAATCTGTAAGTTGGTGAATCGATTTGGCTCACTATGGGACGTAATGGAGCATTGGGCATGTGTATTTTTGGTAACCCATACAATTTTGGTGATTTGGCGCACGTAGGTATTATCCATTTTACGTCCAGATTTAATTTTTTCGGAGTGTTTCTTTATGAGGTCACTAGTTGTTTTTAGTATTACTAGTGACCTCATAAAGAAACCTACCTACGTGCGCCAAATGACCAAAATTGTATGGGTTACCAAAAATACACAAGCCCAATGCTTTATTACGTCCCATAGTGAGCCAAATCGATTCGATCGATCTACACGGAACAAAAGTTACATTTTAATCTATGGTAACTATGACATATGGACGTTGAACATCTCAGTCCCGCCCGTGACCATGAGTGCTGTAAAGCGTTCGAAACGTCGGGTATTTAAAAAGTTAAATATACGCGATAAATTCCGTAAAAACTAGTATTATTTCAATGTGTAGTGTTCGCGTAAATATAAGAAATCATCCTTAATTTTTTCTTTACTCAACCTATCGATAGTGGTACCAAAATAAAGGAAATTAAAAGGAGATTACTGAAATATATGAATGTGAGTATGATGACTGAGCCTGATTGTTACAATTATTTCTCGTGGATTATTTAACAAGAAATACTAATTAAAGAATTTTTGTTTGTCTGTTAGACAATAAATTAGGCTCAGTCATCATACCCACACTAATATACTAAACTATAATAAATGCAAAAGTTTGAATGTTTGTTTGTTCCTCAATCACGCCAAAAGTATCAGACCAATTTGATTGTAATAATTTGGCACACATATAGTTTATTACCTGAATTAACATATAGGATACTTTTTATCCTGATTTAGAGGTCCCGAAGAATATAATAAGAAATTTCGTAATAATCGTAACCCACGAGAGAAACGTGAAAATAACACACTCACCTCACTAAAGTCGCAATGACAACTGAAATAGTTGTCATTGACTGTGACAAAACATGGCGCCCGGCCGCAGCGAAAAAATTGTTGCCATATTCGGTAATGATAAAAGTACTGTTGTCCTTTTTTACATACGAATATATTCATAATCTAAAAAGAGACGCCGATATTTCGTTACATTCCTACAACTAACGATCTTTATGTCACGTCCTTTCTTTTTTTTCTTAGACAAAGGTACTCCTTACCTTTACAGTCTACACTCCTTAAGTTTCTGTTCTGGCCGTAGACAGAGAGGCCGGCTCTGGTTCTCTGGTTTCTGTCACGCGTGTATTCTCTGACTAGTATATAGTTATCTGTGGCGTGTATCTAGTTAGTAGTTATTTTGGTATTTTGGTTTCTGTTTAGATGTCTGGATTAATAAATATTTGTGCATATGGAAATGACTCTGAGTCTGAAACTGATGAATGTGAAATCAGTGCCCTTACGGTTACGGAATTAAAGAGGCAAGTTAAAATTATTATAAATGTTAGCAAGGATTAATAAAGCAGCTTTTAGCTTCATCACATTTATCACTAGTAATAATAATGTAACAAAAACTGACGTGACATTGGCAGAATTCTTTTTGGAGCCAAAAAAGATAAAATACTAAAGATAAATACATAAAATCAGAAGAAGAAAATAAACTACGCTCATCCCAAAAATAATTGATTAGGTACATAAAAATCTTACAAATTTGACGAAGATGTCATTGTCGATGTAGGCTATGCCAGATTGTTGATTGAAAATTTTCAGTAACATTTGTTCTATTTTGATAGTTTAATTGTGCTGAGCATGGAACACTGACTGTGTATATACGAATGTCTAGGAGGCAAAGTTCTGCCTCATTAATTGTTACTATACTTACCCTCAGATGAAGTATAAAAAGGTAGATATCGCACCTAGAACAAAAAACTGTAACCAATTTTATAACTTTGTGTGAGTCAGAGAAGTGTTGCCACTTTTTTTAAAAGTCCCTGAAAATCGAGTTACAATACTACAACTAAGAGCAATATGCAATGCAAATGCGAAAGTATATCTGTCTGTTTTAATAAATTTCAGCAATATAACAATTCAAAAAAAAAATGAAGCACGTAAGAGGCGTCTGTAAATCATTTAAAAGTCTTCTTGATAGATTGTCCAGTGAGCATGTAAGCATCAATAAAATATACAACATATATAATGTAAAACATGTTTATTATAAAAAATAACTTAATACTAAAATAACTAGTTGAAATAAAAAAATAAATTTCCATGCAATTAAAAATATACTTTTCTAAATGAAAAAAAGTATATTTTAGTAAAAGCAAAATTGAACAAACTCTAGCCGGGGTCACAAAGGAGTATTCTAATTAGTACCCCGGGTAGGAGAGATATGAAGTATCAGCCAGAGAGGACACCTAAGTCTCGGTTTAAAAGAGCAAGGGAGGCTTCGCCATCTCCGGGTGGTAGTGGACAGCATTAATATTGTAATGAAGTGTCCTGATGTTGTAAAAATGCACAAATAGTGTGACAGAGGTCGCCTTGGTCTTATTGCTCCGCTTGTCTCTACCAGTTTTAGTCACGAGCAGAAACCCCCCCCCTTCCCCAGAATATGCGTAGCAGCCTAAGCACCCACGCTCAGGGAGACTAAAGTAGCTTTGTCGTGGATGCTCAGCAAGGGATCTCCATCACCAGGAGTGCGGGTACCCTCTTGGGGTAGTTTTTATTTGATTACGGTATGATGTTAAGGGGGAGGGGGAATTGGAAACAAATTCAAGTATTACATAGATAAAATTAGATTTACAGATGTTTATACCATTAGCTCATCTAGTGAGGCTATTAACCCGGCGAGCATGAGCCAGGGTATCACACACCCTGATAAAATTTCAAGGTGGTGTATTTTTTTAAAAACCTTGCCTGGAAACTCTAACTTGCTCAGTAGCTGGAGTGCTGGGCGCATGGGGCGGGTTAGTGGTGTGATCGCAGTGTGGCATGGGACACCGGCCGTTATATTCGTGGGCAAACCTGTCTCGGGTATGTTATATCCTGCCTCATTTTTGACGTATTTTTTTTTATGTAATGATTTGATCATGAATTATGATTGTTTTATTAGTTTTTTCTTTGATGATTTTAGTATATAAATTTGTTGTTCATTCATTTATACTGTGTTATGTTAGTCACAACAGTAACCGATGGGCTACGACTTTATTCTATGGTGTCTTGAACATGGCAGCTATCAATGCTTGCATTATATTTATATCGAGCAAACAAAAACGTCACAATCAAGAGAACGGAATTCATTCGTAATTTTATTTTTTCGTGATTAATAATTTTTTTTTAATTCGTGATTTACGAACACCTACAGTCAAGAAAATCAAAAAAGCATATTCTAAGCTACATCCGCCAGCGAATCTTAAAACAGTTCGGTGAGCCCTCGCCTAGACATGTGAATATACCCGGGCGATATGTCAGAATTGTCGCATACAAGGAGGATAGAAAAACCAAATATTCCTGGAATGCTTGTGCCAAGCCCATATGTATGGAGCATGCAAAATTTATTTGCGAAAATTGTGCTGATTTCGACAGTGGTGATTAACCATAATTTTTAATTAAAAAAAATTAATAATAAGTTTTTTACAAGGAGGATCTCACTATGTTTTAATTTTAGGTTGATTTACACTCCAAATAATAATATTTTTGTTAAATTATAAAGTTTTGTAAGTCCTTAAACTTAAACTTTTGTTTCTTTAATTACAAAGTTTATGAAAAACATGATTATATAATAATAATTTCACAATTAAGAACTTGTTTCATTTAATTCTATTAAATCATTCATTATTTTACATAATAAAATCATCAAAGTAAAAATAATAATAATAAGAACTTAAATATGGTACATTAAATTATGGGTATGTCCCACGCTGCCACATTCTCGATGTAACTTTTTTTAACCTCATGCTCGCCGGGTTAATAAGTTTTATAATAAATTTAAATTATTTTATAATCTTTGTTTTCCTGTTATTTGAGAACGAATTTCAACAAATACGAAACAAAAATGGATTACAAAAGGCATAAAAATTTTTTGTAAATATAAGCGTCACCTTTTGTGGCAATGTGGAAGAGATCCTAATCAAAACAATAAAAATGTGCTTATGACTTATTCAAATAGATTAAAAAAATTATTAAATTAACACAAAAACTCAAAACAATCACATTGTCAATTTATCACTTCATAAAACAAAACAACTTGGAAAATTGTTAATAGCTACAGAAAAAATTATAGTAAAGAGTTTAGTAGAAATTTTATAACATGAATTAAAATAAATAATAAATTTATAATGAATCCAAAAGACATTGCGCAGGCATTTAATGATCATTACATTGACCAAGTATATGCAATAGATGACAAAAATAATATGACATATTCTAATAATTTGACACATAATAAATACAATTCATTTTTCTTTAATTTTGTTACATCTAATGACATACTATTAACTATAAAATTATTAAAAAACACAAATAGTACTGGTTTTGATGACATTTCAACAAAAGTAATAAAACACGTAGGAAACACAATTGCCCCAGTAATGAGTCATATTATAAACCTATGTGTTGAAGATGGTGTATTTCCTGAAGTTCTTAAAACGACCATTATTTAAAAAAGACGACAAGGAGGACTTATCCTGTTACCGTCTCATTGCTATTACTTCTATATTTTCAAAAATTATAGAAAAAGTAATTTATAAGAATTTATATAACTACTTTGAAAAATTCAATATTTTTGCAAAAGAACAAAAAGGCTTTCGTAGAAACAAATCTATTAATGTAGCAATTTATGAATTCTTAAGCCTTTTTGTTTAATTATTACAAATTTCAATATTTTAAGAGTATAATTAGCTCGTTTAAGTTAAATAATTTAATAATAAATTTAAAAAGACTCAAATAATGAATTTTTATCAACGAAAATGGCCCCTTGATTTACTTAACATTAATTACGATAGTGAGACGGTTAGTGAAACCAAAGCAGCAAGATTCTTAGGTCTTTATATTGACAACAACTTAAAGTGGGAGACTCATACAGAATATATTTGCAAAAAGTTAAACCAATTTTCATACGTTTTATATGTATTATCCAAAGTAGTTAATGAAGATGTTTTACGGATGGTATATCACGGCTTCGTATCTTCTACTGTGTGCTACGGTATAATTTTTTTGAGGCAATGCTACAAGGCGCGAAGATATATTTAAAGCACAAAAAAAGTGTGTGCGTATATTGAGTACAGAAAGCTGTAAACCACAATTTAAAAAATTTAAGTTATTGACATTTTCCGCAGTGTATATTTATAAAGTTGTGACATTTGTAAAAACTAATCCTGAAATACTTAATGATTACCTTTTGTTTGCCTTTGAATAACAAACAATCGACATACAAATAAAATTCATACATACAGTCATCAAAGACAGCTTTACTTAGAAAAAGCGTTATATATATAATATCTAAAATCTATAGTAAGGTTCCATCTATGTTTCATGAAATGGAAAATATTTATAAATTTAAAAAAGAATCTAAAACATTTCTAATTGAGAAATGCTACTACTCAATCGATGAATATTTAAGTGACACATCAGTAGGCATATTATAATGACATTGCATAAAAATATAATTCATTTTACATTCGATTAGACTATATATTATCGTAAATTTTATACGTGGTAATGGCTCTAGTGGCTGCAGTTATATTAGTAGTATAGTTGTAGCACGAATGGGTCGGCTCGACCGGGGAAGGACCACGCTCTCACAGAATACCAGCGTGAAATAGTAGCTTAATGCTGCTGTATTTCGTATGGTGAGTGTAGAGAACCGGAGACTCTTTTTACTGGAAACGAGGCATTCCATCTCAGTCCTCACGGGTGACAACGCATCTGCATTTTGATTTTTAATGGAGGATAGATGTAGATGTCTATGGGCCGCAGCTATCACTTACCATCAGGTGGTCTGTGTGCTCGTTTGTCACCCTATTCTATAAAAAAAAATCCATTCTAATTAATTATTACATCATTGTTGAATTTTCTCATGTAATTATAATATAAATAATACAATGAAATAATTGTGGAAATCTAATATATTCCTATCTCAAAAGTTTTATATTTCAAATTACAGATCCAGACTACCAGTACCAAATCTAACTCATGTACCAGCTGTTATAACAGACCAACATTTTGACGACCCTCAACTTCATAGGGGTCGAAAAAGGACATTTCCTCATATGAGAGGAAATTGGACCACCTTTGTTTATGTAAAATGTTAGTATTCAAGTATCATCATTCATCATAATGTTTTGTGAGTAATGTAAAATGATGTAAAACATGTCCCAAAACTCAACGTCAAGCGGGTTCGGGGCGAGAGGGGGTGTCATAACAGCCCCGGGAAAAACCAACCAATTCCTTCCACCAATGTTTCGAACACCAAGTAATCGTCTCTCCGAACACACCTGATGTACATGGGCGAAAACGCGGTGATCCGAAAGATTTTCGGCACTTGGGTACCTTTCTCTATAAAGTCTGGCTGCGGCACGAGCGTTATATCCATATTCTCTGTAGATGAGGTGAGCCGAGTAGAGATAAGGCATGATACGGATTACCCGAAGTAGCGTAGAAAACACAAATCACTGGTTTTTAACGTCTACTGAGTTTGCAAAACAAGATATTCAGGTGTCACAATCACAAGTCCAGAAAAAAGCCAGGTCAAACAAACAAGAATCAAGTCCAATTTCACAAAGCTAAAATCGTTACTACTGAAAGGGGATTAACACAAATACAAAAGATGCGCTTTAAACAAGGAGTGTAAGATACTGACCATTAAAAGAGAAACAACCGCCAAAGCTTCACTATCTGTTTCAGCCAATCATTTCTGTCTCATTTATACTTGTTGACTTCAATATTTAATAGATGAAAATGTATTGTGGTTTGTGGTGTAGGTGTGGAACTGTTTAATATAATTAATTGTATTTTTAATAATGAAAAGTGATATGTATTATACCATTTTACAATCTAGGATAAATGGTCCGTATTGAAGTAACTTGCCTAGGGTCAACCTACGATTAAAAGCAACTACATTAATTGGGATTCTGCCATCAGAGTGATTGGTGGTTACACATGTTTTTGTATTGGAATAAGTTTTTACCCCTTTTTCGATTCAAATTGGTGTAAAATCTCTCAATTTTTTGTGTGTTGTCTCTGTGTGTTCTGTTTGTTAGTAGGTGAGTAGTATTTTTTTGTTTTAATGTAGATCTGTGTGACATACCAGACGATGGAGGTTGATGGAGGAGATGTTGAACCACCGTATTTACCTGGTGATTCTGGCCCTGCTAAACGTAAACTCACGGATTCCTTACCATTACCCAACTTCCTAAAGAAAAAAATAGGGCACAAAGATCACCCTTCTGCCTCCTACCAAAATACATACGTCCACCCTGACTTCCAAGATAAAAAAAGTATGTAGATAGCGATAAAGGCCCATTTGTAATACATTTAAGCCGCTCAGAACCTGATCCATCAGCAGGTTATACAATTAGACCTGCGAAAATTGGTCATATCCTTACCCAAAATAAAGTGGCCAATATTGAAAAACAGGGTATCAAAATTTTAGGGCGCAACAGGGTTTCAATTGCTTTTAAAACTGCCAATGATGCTAATAATTTTATTGACAATGAGTTTCTCTCGCATTATAAACTTTCTGCTGTTATTCCAACTTTGAAAGTCACCTGTATGGGTGTGATCAGGGGTATCCCGACTGACATCTCTATGGAGGAATTAGTGAGCGAGTCTGAGCTCCCTCCTGGCAGAGGAGAAATCATTAAAGCCAGAAGACTTAACAGAAAGGTCAAAAAGGGTGATGAAGTGGAGTGGGTTCTAACTCAAACTGTTGTCCTCACCTTCTCAGGACAAGTGCTTCCCTCCCATTTATATTGCTTTTATGCTTCCATACCAGTCGAAACTTACCTTCTTCCTACTATCCAATGTCTAAAATGTTGCCGTTTCGGACATGTCAAAGCCCAATGTCGATCAAAACCACGATGCTTTAAATACAGCAAAGAGCACACCGGAGATAATTGTCCCACAGATTCCCCAACCTGTCTTTTCTGTTCGGCAAATCATATGGCTATTGAAAGAAGTTGCCCAGAGCACTCAAGGCAAAAAGCTATCAAAATAGTAATGTCACAAGAGAATGTATCATACCTTGAGGCTTCCCTTAGAGACTTGACCTTATTCTGATGTTGCATCTTCACAAATTCCTGTAAGCCATCTCCCATCTCCTCAGGCATCGGTAAACCCTCCTACTCAGTCTCCTTCTCAGTCCTATAGGAAAACTATTTATAAAGCCAAATATGTGCCAGTGCAATCTACACAAGGATATGATAAAGTTTCACACTATAACATTACAAGTACTCCTTCGTCCTCTCTTCCCAATGGGCATGCTTTACAAAGCAATATAATATTCCCTAATGATAACCTAGAAAATCTTGTGGCCTCTCTTACAGATATTGTTGGGAAATTCGATGATTCCCATTTACCGTTCAACGTGAAAAGCAAATTAGATGTTCTCTTCTCAAGAATATATTAAGTTCGAATCCGTAACCCTCCTCCAGTGGAATTGTCGGAGCATCAGGAATAAAAAACCTGATATAATTCACTTAATTAATACTCATAACACTTCTATACTTGCAATATCGGAAACCTGGGTTAAGCCAGGCTCCACATTTAGAATCCCAGGCTTCTCCTGTTATCGTAGTGATAGGAGCGACGGCTATGGTGGCGCTCTGGTTTTACTTAACAGGACTAACCCTTATCACCTATTCCTCTTCCTCCTGTACAAGGCAATATAAATGCAGTAGCTGTTAAGGCTATGAACATCACAATCCTATCCATTTACATTCCGGCTCCCACACCTTGTATATCAGAACTCAATTTAATTCTATCAAGCATCTCTCCACCTTACCTTATCCTCGGAGACTTTAATAGCCATCATGTTATGTGGGGTTCTCATAAATCTGACTCTTTTTCTTATCTGCTACTTGATGTTTTTAATAAATTTAATCTTTGTCTCCTAAATGATGGTTCTCCCACCAGAATGGCCTACCCTTCGCAGAAATCTAGATCTGCAGTAGACTTGTCATTGTGCTCTCCACCTCTGGCTGCTAGCATATCATGGAAACTCTCCTTTCTTCTTTTGGAAGTGATCACTTTCCAATCCTTTTAAACCTAAGTAATAGATGTGTTCCTCCTCGAAATTTATCACCCCTTCTTAAATTCAATCTGTCTGAAGCTGATTGGGATGTATTCATAAATTAATATCAATAATCTTCCCCCTGTATCTCCAGATAACCTCCAGAGTGCCTATTCCCAATTTATAACCCTTCTGAATAATATAGCATACAAAATTTTCCCTTTGAAGAATTCCTCCACAAGTAAAATTTCTTCACCTCCATGGTGGGATGCAGACTGTTCCTCAATTATTAAAAAACGAAAGGCAGCAGAACGGCTATATTCCTCTAATATGTCAATGGAAAATTTTCTTAATTATCATAAAATAACTGCTCAGTCCAAAAAACTTCTTTCTGAAAAGAAAAAAAAGGATGGTTTTTTTGTGAGAGCTTAGCTCCTCGATCTCCTTCTTCTCTGGTTTGGAAACGTATTAGGCAATTCCGTGGCGCTTTAGATGATAGCAATTCCCCTTGTGCAGACCCCTTCCATTGGCTAGAAGATTTCAGTAACCGTCTAGCTCCCTCCTGGGTTCCATTGGAGGAAGAGATATCTCCTTCCTCAAAACCATTCCCCCTTCACTCATTTAACTATTTTAATAATCTTAATGAACCATTTTCACTAGCTGAATTGCAGTTGGTTCTTAGGCACCTTAAGGATTCCTCCCCTGGCGCTGATGGTATCCCCTACTCATTCCTTGTTAATATGGGTACTATGTGTAAGCAGTTCTTTTTAAGCATAATTAACATAGTATTTACAACCGGTTCTATTCCAGATGACTGGAAAACACATATTATTATTCCTATTCTAAAACCTAGTAAAGACCCCTCTTCCGCATTAAGCTATCGCCCTATTGCTATTTCATCAACCCTGTCGAAAGTAATGGAACATCTAGTAAAAAATCGCCTTGAGTGGATTTTCGAAAATAGAGGCATTATATCAAAGACCCAATTTGGTTTTAGAAAAGGTTTTAGCACAATGGATAGCCTTAGCATTTTAGTATCTGATATAAGACTAGCATTCTCCAATAACAACTTTCTCGTAAGCATTTTCATTGATGTTTGTGCAGCATATGATAATGTTGTTCTCCCTCTGCTCAGGCAAAAAATGAATCAGCTGAACATTCCCGAGAGAATAACAAATTTCATAGCAAACCTACTTTCACATAGACGCATATTAATTCGCTCTGAAGGAAGATTTCTACCAGCTAGATTTACCTGGTAGGGACTACCACAAGGTTTTGTCTTGAGCCCCTTGCTGTACAGCCTTTACACCCATGATATAGATAGATCTGTAAATTATCTAGGTAATATTTTGCAATATGCAGATGATCTAGCCTTATATGTATCTAATGTCTCTATTACTGAGGCTACCTCTCGTTTATTCCAAGCTGTCAACTTTCTTAATAATTGGCTATTGGAGCATGGTTTATCAATGTCTCCTTTAAAATGCAGTACTGTGGTTTTCTCTAGGCGAAGGTATATACCAGAAGTGTCCATCTACATTGATAATACTCTAATCCCCACTGAAAATCAAGTGAAATTTTTAGGAGTAATCCTGGATAACAAAATGATAGGAATTCCTCACTTATTATATATTGCCTCCAAATGTGAAAAAAATCTCAATGTTATTCTATCTCTATCAGGTACTTGGTGGGGTTCTCACCCCTACTCACAAAAGCTTTTATACAATGCTCTAATTAGAAGTCACTTTGATTATGGGTGCTTCTTAAGAGCCTTGTAGCAAAATGGCTCTTAATACCTTAGACAAAATACAGTCAAAATGTCTACGTATAATAACTGGTAGCATGAAGTCCACTCCCATTCTCGCTCTTCAAGTTGAATGTGTTGAGCCCCCCTCTATCTCTACGCAGGCAATATCTCTCAGATAGGTTCTTGTTTAAAGTAGCATGTTATTCACTCCATCCTCTCCTTTCCAAACTTCATTCCTTGTATCGGTTGGTCAGGGACTCCCCATATTGGTCCCACAAGGATTTGCCATGCATTATAAAAAGCTATATTAAATTGCTCAACAATCCCTCT